TAAAAGGATGTTAGCAGAACTTTAGTAGGACGTTAATAGAATGTCAGCAGAACGCTAGAACGATGTCAGCAGAACTTTAGCAGGGCGATAGCAGAATATTAGCAGAATGCTAGAGGGATGTTAGTAGAACTTTAGCAAAACGTTAACAGAATATTAGCAGAACTTTAGCAGAGCATTAGCAGAATATTAGCAGAACGCTAGAGGAATGTTAGTAGAACTTAACTAAATGTTAACAGAATGTTAGCAGAACGCTGGAAGGAAGTTAGCAGAACTTTAGCAGAACATTAAAAGAATGTTAGCATAACTTTAGCAGAACATTAACAGAATGTTAGCAGAACATCAGCAGAATGTTGGCAGAACTTTAGCAGAGGGTTAGCAGAATGTAAGCAGAATGCTAGAAGGATGTTAGCAGAACATTAGCAGAGCGTTACCAGAATGCTAGCTGAACGAGAGGATGTTAGCAGGGCATTAACATTTTAGGGAGAACCTTAGAAGAATTTTAGGATGTTCTGATTCTTCACCATTTACCACATCACCCACCGAATAGTTCTATAGATCTAATGTTTTAAAAAGTGGTTGTAATTAAACCTGCAGGACCGAATGACTGAATCTTATTCCTGTCTCTTAAAGGAGACTAAACTCTATCAGAGTTTAAGTAAGGACGAGGAAACTGTAAGGCTTCATATTTTACTTAGTGCAATCCTCTTTGGATCTAAATTTCTGATTTTGTGTTTGAGTTTGGCACCAGGGGCCTCCTTGGATGAATTAATTAGATCAATGTCCTCAAAACAAGTAGCAGCAGGAACGAGCAGACCTGATGGCGTCAGCGAGGATCAAAGCTTGGCCTTGGCTCATTATTCATCTTAACAACAGACAGATGAAACCAATGGTTTATTCTGAGCCTCAAACTGTTCTCACCTTCAGGAACTGTGGAGTGACTAAGCGTACGGTGGCTATGAAGCAGACCTGCTCCTCCAGTGACGACTGCAGGCTTCTTGGTAACGTCACTTCATGCCCGTTACAAGAAGATGTAGGCACTGTGTGGCAGGCAGCACAGATATTTTTTATGTCACCCCTTTTCTCTCTAAATGTGATAAAATTTGTCATTTTCTTAAATCTTTTTTTAAGGAAATATTCATACCATTGTTATGAAACTTGAAATCTCCAACAAACTTGACATATTCGTACACAGGAGGCTCCTTGGGGTCCATGTTACCTCTGGCAAGATGACAGCAGAATTCAATATGTGCCTCACCTGAAAAAACAGACATTTTCCTGATTAAAGGCCTGAAGGACCTGAGGATTCATTCAGATCTGGAGATTCAGCTCCTTTGGGATCAGAAAAAGTTTCTACAGATTATTAACTCAGGGAGGATGAAAACTAATGCAGCAACAGTTTTCACATAAAATCCCATTCATAAATAATCAGGCTTGTGTTTCTAACATCGCAAAATGTGAAAAAGCTCAAAGTGAGTAAGTCCTTGTTAAGGCAAGCCTTTCTGGCTCCATAATGTAGTTAGAGTGTCATCTTTCCTGTAATGCATCAAATCATTCAAGCCTTTAGTTTATTATTTAACTACGGTTTTCACATTACTGAAAATTCCAAACACTGTTTTTGACACTACAGGGATAAAATATGACGCAGGTTGTTAGAGACCACTTACATTTACTTGAGTACATTTTAGAAAAAAAACAAAAACTTTTTAGAGTAGCATTACTTTACATTACTTTTCTATTTTACTTTAATAAAAAATATTGCTAATCTTGTTGAAATTTCTGGATCCTCTGAATGCTGCAAGTAATGTAAGCTGATTAGAGATCAGGTGAAAATATCAGATGTCCTTTTCTAATATACCAGCTTTTTCATTTTTTTACATAACCTAGAAAAGACTTTCTTCTTCCGACAGCTACTCATACTGGAACTGCCATTTTAAAAACTACTTTTTTAGGTACTTTTCTATATAATAATTAAACTTTATTGATCTCACATTGGAGAAATTTACCTCTGCATTTAACCCATCCTTTGGGGAGCAGAGGGCTGCCATTGTGCGGCACCCGGGGAGCAGTGTGGGTTAAAGGTCTTGCTCATGAACCCAGAGTGGCAGTCTGTGGGAGTGGGGCTCAAACTCAGAACCTCTGGATTCCAAGCACTATGTTGTAACTACAGGCCGCCACTCCCCCAATCTTGTATTTGTTTAAGTATTGGTATGTTTACTTCAGTAAAGTTTTTAGGTGCGACCTGCCTCTGATCAAAATAAAAGGCATAAAAAATACTTTTATTAAGGGTAAAAACAGGTAAATGGTTTTCTTAAATAGAACCACGGATGCTAATTAAATGAGTGTATAAATGAATACTGAATTATTAACCCAAATATTAACCCAAAACAATCTGGGAATATTTTCTGAACTTTTAATCTTCCATGTGGAAATAATCCAGGAATCTAAAATGACAACCCAAATTTGAGGTGTCTACATAATCCTTTAAAACAAAAAAAACTCTCTTCCATCCCCAGATGATTTTCCAATAACTGAATGGATTTAGGCTGTTAGAAATGTTTTAAGGCTGCAGACACTTCCTCTTCTCTCTTCCTGTCAGAAACCCAGGATTAAGGTCAGCGTCTTCGGCCTCCCAGGGATTATGTGTTAACATAACAGTGATTTAAAGTCTTAACTATGATACTAAGCTGCCTCCTATTATTAGCTAAAAGTCTAATCATAGAGCAGACTAATCAGAGGAGCCTTGAACCAAGCAGTCGTCTCGAGTGTTGTTCTGTGTTTGTACTGAGCAGCCAGGCCTCTCTAAGCAGGACACTCACTGTCAAGGAAATCAGCAGCAACCGGGTCAGACATCAGCATGTGGGATGATAGCAGCTTGTAAACCTCCCCGTGTTCCCGCTCTGGGAGGAAATTCAGGATGCTCTGGTCCACCATATCTGACTGGTAGAAAAACAGGCCGATGAGTTTCAGTCAGTTAGGATTCAAAAAACTAAATAATGATGAAGATTTTATATTTTTTTCATGAATCTCTGGAGGAAATGCAGAGAAAACACAAACATTTGCAGAAAAGCTGATGCAAACCTCAAGAAATCATAACTTCCACTCCCAGATGGACAAAAATAATATCTTAATATTTCTAACCTGTATGGGGACATTTATCTCCATATGTTTATCCTTCCATAAATAGGAAACCAAAGCTTGTAATAACAGATCATCTCCACATTAACGGCGTAGACTTCTATCTTCTATGTTTTGAAAAACTCTTGATATGTAACCCAGACTGATCCCCCCCTCAGACTGCTGTGGGAAAGAAAAACCTGTATCTTCGATAATGAGAAGGAATATAGAAATGATGATTTCAGGAGGGATAAATAAATGACTTCCTGTTTTGGTCTGAGGTTCTGCTGCCATGAGACTCTGTCTAACTTAGCTAATTATTACATTAGGTTGTAGAAAGAAAGTTTAAACCACTTGGATCCGATTAACAAACATTGGCCTTGAAATGCTCCATTGTGCACATGTGATGCTGTGATGACCACATACTTTGGACATACGGTGTACCCTTGATTGGTGGATGTAGTCCATTTGTTTTCCACCTCCTAATCGGTGAAGATGAAGGTTCTGGACCAAGATGTTAACCCCTCCTGCAGCAGGAACCTTCTCATGTGACAGAAGCTAAACTGCTCCTCTCAGCTATGAAGCTAAAGCTATCTTGATGAGAGCTGCAGCTGCCAGGGTAGAAAACGAGCCGTTAGCATAATATTAGCGTTTCCCTTGGGGTCAGGTTGTTCCGCTCTGCTTGTTTCCTTTGAATTAAAATTATTTGAAAGCTCTGCTTTGTACACAGCTCTGTCTCTGGAGATCGACTGAAATCGATCATCTATGCGGAGTGAAAAACATGCCGTGCAGAGCACTGCTGGCGGCTGTGAACTGATTGTTCTAGAAACGTGTGTTAAAGATGAGCTGATGCTCATAAAGTGGTGAGGACTCTTCACTGCCACCTGAACACTTTCATCCACAGGATCTCAGGGTCATAAAACATTGGGGCTTTAAGTGAAGACGGGTTTAGCTTTTCTCCAACCTCTCAGACACGCCATCTTTATCACACGGTTTTTACAGCTTTAAACTTAACAAGTAAACATTGAGAGATGACGTCTCCATCAGGTGGACCGAACAACGCACCTTTTAAATCCCTGGTAGGGCTGCAGGTCTTTTAGACCTCCTGCACGCCGGTTTCAAATCAACATGGCGGACCTGGATTTTACAGAACGAGTAACGATGCTGCATTTAATGTGAAAGGCTGAGAAATGGCGCCAGAGACGCTGGCAGTTCAGGGAGGCTAGGTGCTACAGCTGGATCACAGAGAGAATGAGAAGGAGGAGGCGGGAGCATCAGAGCGGGGCAGAGGGCAGCGGATGGACAGGGCCGGCTTCAGGAGGACGGATGTCCTTCTAAGGGCTAAATTAAAATGGCTTCTTTAAAAGCCACCTACAAACCTCTGAGTTCCTTAGTCACTTCATTCCTTTTTTTTAAAGCTTCGTTTCCACTGTGCTCCTTCAGGATAAGTCACATTGTGTCCCTGAGTGGATGATGCCTGGGATGCCAGTTATGGCTTCATGAATTCATCTAAAGCCGATGATCTTATTCATCGACTAACGATTACCTGAAAAGAGTCATTTTTCTTTTAAAGCTGAGTTTTCTCTTGTAGTCCTGATATGGCCTCAGTCCTGAACGCCCCTCTCTGCGTTCAGCGAAAGCTTTAGATGACACTTTTTCTTCTGTTTATTACTAATTATTTACTAATTTATCACCGTCTACCATATGTTTGTCTCCATTATTACCAAAAATACTCAGCAGGAAAACTTTTTTCTAATTCAGATTAAAAGAAAATAATTAAATATCTTTTTTTTTTTTATTTAAGACACAGAATCAGACACAATATTTATAATATTAAGTGGTGATTAAAACCTAACTGGCTACTTCGACTCACCGGTAAATGTCCAATTAGAGAGGACACGCTGTCAGACACATAGATGATGTTTCCATCCGTCGTTAATGCAATCAGGAAACCATCCAGGGCCTGTGAGAAGCAAACAAATCAATGTTACATTCCTGTTAATTTAGCATAATATTACGGATTTGTAAAGATTCAAACATCCTGATAAGCTTTACCTCCAACATGAGCTGAGTGAACTCTTCGTTACTGAGTAATGAGGGCTTCCAGTCCTGCTTCACGTCACAGACTTCGTTCTGCGCAGTGATGTCTGCAAAAGATTGGAAGATGACTCAGACTCAGAGATGAAGCTTAAGAAAGTGGCTGAAATGATCCACAGGTGTCTGAATGTGCAGACCTTTCTGCTTCTGCAGGAAGTCAATGGTCCTCTGCAGGATGGTGGACTTGTCCATCTTGCGCGGATGGCCCTGGCCCTGCAGCATCGTGCACAGCTCCTTGATGAGCACATTGAACTGGTCTCTTCTTTTCTTTTCAGATTTGTTGCGAGATGCTCTGCAGAACAAAGAGGATGCAAGAAAGAAATGGCAGCATAAGAGCGATGTAACTGACTTTCCTCAGCTCTATTAATTCTAACAACGTTTCACAGAAACGGTTATTCAATTCTACATATCAATAAAAAAACACAGTCATTATAACATTTCTTAAATATATTGTTCCTCTTATGATATTTTCTAATAATGTGGCTTTTTGAATAAAATAATTTACATATTTTTCTTGGTACTGTGTACTTTTTTTTGAGTGTGAAAAGCTTCTGGCAGCTTCAGGTTTGTTTTCTTTCAGTGCTAATGTTTAACTTCTTCTTCATGTGTTTGAACAGCTGTGTAGATAATTTGCTTCAGATTATCCGGTCGTCACGCTCCAACAGTTTGGCTTTATTCAGGAATCTGAAGGAATTTTTAACTTTTCCTTCTCAGAACAATCCTGCTTTTTTCTGAATGTCGTTTCTTATTTTCCTGAAGAGTAAATGAACCCTAATGTGACTTAGTTACCACCTCTGGTCCCTCTAAGCAGACGATTGTCTCATATTAGAGCCGTTGGATCAATACAGAGGTTGAGAAGTTGATTTTCCCATAAAACTGGGATGATCAGTGGAACCAGAGAAACAGGTTTAACAGCAAATGTAAGGCAGGATGATGACCTTTTTGCTTTGTCCTTCTCATCTTCATCCATTAAGTCCTCCACACAGCTGTTGGTACTGAAAGCACAAGGAAGAAGGTGTCAAGCTGATGGATATCATAGAATATCTGACTTTTTAACAAGCAACATTTAGAAGTAGAATAAAATGTTACCCAGATAAATATAATTAAACATCATTCTTTAAAAAGTGATGAAAGATGCAGACAATGTGAAATGAGGGTCAGAGAGAAATGGTAAAATCTCCAGTTTCTCTGTTAGCTTGATCTGGTAACAGAGCTAATTTGTTTGTAATCTCAAACTGTAATCTGGAATAAAAACTGCTCAGTAACCCTCCACATTTTTTCAATCCCTGGTGAAGACGAGCAACAAGGTTTGAGATGAATCTTTCATTTATCACAGCAACATAAAGTCACCAGAAAGCATAAAAAAAACAAGCCAATGGATTTTATGAATCGGTGCCAAGATGGAAAATAATAATCTAGAATAAAATCAGTGGTGCTAGGACTGAACAGCATCAACAGCAGGAGCTTTAAAGCAGCCATTCAGATATTTCTCCTACATTGACAGAACAGCTGCGTCCTAATCCAACAGACAAGTGGAGCTTTCTAAAGTCTAACGGGGGTCAGATGAGAGCGCAGCCATCCAAAAAAATGTCCGAACCAAAAGCTCAACCAGAACTATAGAACTATAGCAAAAGAAAAATGGAAATTTGAGGAAAAAAATGTCATAAAAAAAAAGAAACGTTGAAAAACTTTGTGATCAAAAGCAGGTTTTGAGAAGAGCTTTGCTGTTTACTTAGATTTTATTTTTCCAAATATTTTTTTTATTCAATATCTTTTCATATTACATTTTTTTTAAATTGTTTTTTAGTTTTAAAAATTCCATTCTTTTTAAACTGCAAACTGAATGAATGACATTTTCTTCACTTACAGCCCGATTCAAACATTCCTTATAGACCGGTAATAATGTTACTAACATCCAGCCGACCAACAGAAAGCATCTTTGCTCCACCCTCAGAATAAAACCCAACCCCCGAAATGTGATCTGGCAAACGCTCTTCGAAAATAATTATATTTATAAAAATCAATCGGAAAAAGAACAATTTGAAATGTAGCGTGGCGGCCTAGTAGTCAGGGCATTACACTTGGAATCATGAGGTTCTGAGTTTGAGCCCCACTCCCACAGACTGCCACTCTGGGCCCCTGAGCAAACTCCACACTGCTGCATAATGGCAGTTTAATTTCTGGATTTCAGTTTATCAGATTTTCCATTTCTGAAATGTTTTCTTTGTTTGGATAAGTGTTGTGCTTCAGTTAAAGGGCTTTCCGTGCCTCCATGCTCACCAACTGCTCTGAAACTCAGCCCGTCCTGTGATGTCTGAGTGGGAAAGAGTGCATTACAGTAAGGACTTTTGGTTACAATGCTTAGTACGATGGAGGATCTGTCATGCTGCGGGGCCATCTGAATTAAGCAGAATCCTGGACTCTTTCAAACCTTAATGCATCCTTTCCATTGGGGATTTATCTATCAGTTCAGTCCAATTCAGTTTAATTAATACAAGCTAAAACAGAGGTGAAGATAAGCTAAAACTGCTGCTAGCTCGCTATAATGGTGCTTCTATGCAAAATAAGCCCAGCAAAAACGATTAAATGTGTGAAGATATCAGTAATTAAAATAAGCTGTGGATAGTGACTTCGCCCCCTAACTGATCGGTGGGTCTCTGATGTTTTCAGTGCAACTTTGAACCACAAACAGAAAGGATCTAAAAATATTAGAGCTGCAACTAACAATTATTTTTCTTATCAATCTTTCGATTATTTTTTTGATTAATCGATTAATAATCAGATAGCCAAAGGTTCCTTAAATAACTCTTTTTGTAAAATTAAATCAGGTGAAACTAAAACTTTTCCACTGAGGCGTTCTGGATAAAGCAGATTGACAGATTATTTTTTTTTTCCATGTTAAATGCAAAATGTTTACATATTTTTTTATCATCTTGGTATAATTCCTGCTCTAAGTAGGTTGCTCTGTCAGCTAAAGGCATGTTTTACAGTCTCTATACTCTAGTTAATGATTAATCCAATAATTACTGAATTAGTTGATTATTTCAATAATCGATTCATTGATTCAGCTGTAAAAAAAACAGTATCAGCTCCAGGTAACGGTCACTAATAGAAACGTGGAAAAGGCGAATTAATCAGCGGTGAGTCGCTCTGAGTTAAAGGGACTTTAATTCTCACTGGTTCTTCGTTCTGATCCAAAACAAATGAAAACTTCTGTAAACTTGTTTCCTTAAATATTAAATCCCAAAATAAACTTTGCACCTAAACCCCTTCAGTCATGATCATATGGTTCTACAGGTGGATCACAGAGACGTTTGGTTTATACTCACTCCCATTCCCTAAGGGTGGATGGACACGGCCCGCCGAATTCTGAAAGGTTGTCCATACTCACTCCCTCTGCCAACCGGGCCTTTTCTGAAGTCTGGGAAGTCCCATCCGCCCTCACCTGGCCTCAGCGCTTTACTGGAAAATCCTAGGAAGGAGCAGCTGCCCACCTCCTCCTCGGTTCCCCCGAAGGAAAAAAGTCCTGTGAAAAGAGGAAATGATTACATCACAGGCATTAGCATGTTCATGCTGATTGGCGTCACTGTGCACTGAGAGCTTCGTTAATGGACTTCATCTCCCTTTCTTTGTTCAACTGATCCCTCCGTAAATCATCCGGCAGAACCGGACGGCCACAGTGTGGTCGGGAAAGCAACGCTGTTCCCCCTTCCAGCGCCATCTGGAAGGCGTCCTCGCCACAACTCTCCCTACCACCCTGAGAAACAGCCGTTTGTTCCCAAACTCTACAGTTTGCTTGGCTATAAAAAACCCACTATCACCTAAAGCAAGCTACCATTCATAAAATTCACAGACTCTCACCTGCTATTGACTTTACAGCCTAATCCACCCAGAAGGCCGACCTCACAGAGCCACAGCCTGCGAGGTCTACAGACCATTTGTGTTTCCGAATAAAAGGCTGCACTTTAATCACTGCAATCATTTAATCAATAGAAATACATGATTCAGTTACTGATGGCCTCAAACCCAAAGGTATTCATTCCAGTTTGATTGCAGTTATCAAACAATGTGGGTCAGGATGAGTTTGTTAATTTTACAGGTTAGAAGGTTTTCCTGGTCAATGAAAGGCAGTAGATCAGGTCGGGTGGTCATCAGAAAGAAGGAAAACTCCTCATACTCAGTCCTGGAAATGAGGGCAGACAGGCCACACCGAGCCAGGAGCCGATAAGCGGAGGATTATCTAAACCTTTGCACCAAAATAAAAAGTCATTTTTTAACTCGCTTGACCTTACTTCTACCAGACTTTGGGCTTTATTTCTAAAACTCACTGTGGTGGCTTTTAGAAAATCAACCATCAGAGCCGTTTTTTTTTTTTTTTTTTTAAACACAAAAGTTTATGAGATCTCATGATCATTAAGGCTCAAAATTTAACTTCCGAAACTTTTTGGTTTGGTTTCCTAACTTTATTTCATTGCAAATATACTCTGGTTTTCCTCTATAGTTTCTGCTGGTGGCGCTCGCCGCTTCTACTTTTACCGCTCGCCGCACCGACACCACGTCCATCTGGAGTGGAGCAGCTTGTTCAGGCAGGAAGTCATTAAAAGACTAGATGCTCAAAAGGTAGATAGCTTTTTCAGGCCTTCTATGTAATAATACAGCAAATCAACAACCTCTGAAAAAGAGAGCATTCATCGCCATGGCAATGGTGAAACTATGAGTATTGTGCTTTGTACAGAGGAAAAACTAAAGGAATGGAAATGAAATAAAGTTAGAAAATAAGGAGAGAATTTTGTTCCATTATTATTCTAAGCAAAGAAATGGAAATGAAAAAAAAAAAAAAACACAACGCAGAAATCAAACCCTGAAAAAGGTTTTAATTGAAAAAAAGGATTTGAGAGTAAAATTTCAAAACGTTTCAAATCTTCTTTTTTCAAATTAGAATTTCTTTTTTTCAAAAGTTTATTTTATGGAATATTTATTCATTTATTTACTTTTTTTCAAATTGTGTTTCACAGTGTCTTCAGCTGCTTGACCAATGAAAATGTTGCTAATGTCCAGCGGACCAATAGGAGGATGTAATCTGGAAACATTTTCTGGTTTTTCTTGTTTTTTTTTTTATTTGCAAAATTCACTTTTTTTTTTCTTTTTCTAAAACAAGAACAGTGATAAAACCAATATCTTATTAAATATTAAATCTTTTAAACATTTTTTTGATAAAAATTAATTGGAAAAATAAAAATCTGTATTGTTTTTTCAATAAAATATGAAAAATAAATCTAATAATAATTGAATAATAACTTTCCTTTTGTGGATTGCATTTCTCTTAATTTTTAATACACAAAACATACTCTTAGTTTTCAACAATAATGGAACAAAATTAGCTCCATACATGTTGCTTTTTGGCACCGTCTCTCACTCCTGCTGACTTTGTGGTAATTTAAATAGAAGTTAGGGTCGTTATTCATGTCAGCGGTACTTGAACGCTGCGCCTCACAGCTGAAGTCAATTGCAGCTCCGGTTCTCAGGGAACAGCATCGCAGATCCAGCACATCTAGCAAGGAAACATCCTTCTGATCCAAATGAGTGTTTGTAAACAGCAGGACCCTCCTGGCCTAGAAATGTGCCAGAAGCTGGAGCATCTTTTAATAACTCAGCAGAAATCAGAGACCTTCAGCACACTTTTTGTTTACGGAGGGTCAGAAAAACAGCAGGAGCCTCTGTTACAAACACAGGAACAAATCTACAGAAGGTGGTTCTGGGTTCGGACGGTGGCCCAAACCATCAGAACATTCTGTTCCTTCCAGTAGACAGCGCTGAGTCTAAATGCATAAAGCTGCTTCCAGCTGGATTAAAACACTCAAACCAGGAGTCGCTTCAGGCCAGAGAGGAGCATAAATATCTGCTTTAATCTCTATAAAACAATAAGGCGCTATCACAGAACCAACAGTTTGCCAGAAACACAAGGTAGGGACAATAGGACCAATAAAAGGACTGGGCTCTAATTAGCAAATGATAATAAAGTTTTATTTATTTTTTGCAATAAAAGAAGCAATAAATTCTGACAAGGAAATAAGGATATCTAGGAAACATGAGTGCTTTCTTTCTAACTGGATACTTTGTTATCTTAAACCTTCAACACTCCCACAGCCTAACGTAGATGAGCTTTGATGTAACGGAGGACAGACGGAGCCAAACTGAACCGATCGGACCGGCTTCACTGAGCCGCCGCGTAGCTCTGATCCATCGGCTGCAGGGAAACTGACCTGCATTACTGCTAACAATGTCCTTTATATGGATCCATTCACCGCCATCATAATCATCATGATAATCAATACCACACCAAGCAAAGCAGTTCTTCTGTTTCTTACATCCACCTCCTGTAAAAAACGTCCACAGCTAAATATTTTGGTGATTCATTATTTATTTATTATTTATTTCTAACCCTTTTTAACACTTTTTAATGTCTTTACTAGTGTGATCCTTTAGTTATAATTTCTCTCTAGTTTCCTCAGTGTGAGACAATAAAGAGGTTTTCTATTCTAATTAGCATGTTAGCAGTTGAAACAGAAGGTTTTCCTGAAATGATGCATTCATGACACAAAAACATATTTCAAATCAAATTTGATGGTATTCCTGAAGCTGTTGATTGTATGATTTTGTTTCGATCTTCAGGAAAGCTGAAGACTGATTGATGTTCGTCCATAGTTAGCTTAAATCTGACAAACTACTCTTCCAGAAAACAAAAAAAAAAAATGTTTCTCTGTAGGTTTTGATCAGCTTCTGTTATGTTCTGAAGTGACCCTTTTGTGCTTATTGTAAGGAGAAAAAGGAGTGGGAAATAATATTTATAGAATGGAAGAAAATTTCTTATTTTTTAGACGTTTCACCACAAAAGGGGAAAAAAATTGTAAATAGATGAAAAACAGCTCCAAACAAGCTTTTGAAGAACTGACCAACAGAAGTGTGAGTTTCTAGTTGGAGCCCATCTGTTCATCAACAGACTTAGACCTTCATTCCTGTTAATCTCTAGTTTTTCTGATGACCTCATGTTTTTTTTGCTTTTCATTTTCTGTTTATAAAATCCATCCATCCAGTAGCGTAACCACATAATTTCCTAAAAACGTTGTGGGGGGGGGCTGAGGCCTATCACAGTACCCTAAGGGTCATTTGGAATGTTCAATCAGGCTAACATGCAGGTTTATGGACTGTGGGAGAAAGCCAGAGAAAACCCACTCAGACACTAAACAGAAAGGTCCTGGTTTTAACGGGGACTCAAACCCAGAACCTTCTTGCTGTGAGGCAGTGGTGCTACCCACCACACCACCGAGCAGCCTGCTTGTTTATACATACACAGGCATACGCTGTACGGGTTTTTGCCCTTTTCGAGCAGATTCTGCAGTCATGCGAGAATTTTTCGATCGGGCCGAGTTTCATCCTCATGGTGCGTCCTGCGTCATGTACTATACAGGTGGTAACGAGGGGCGATCAGCCTATAACGACCACCTCCCAATCAGGAATCGTAAGTTCTGGGGAAAATCAAACATGTTGGAAATTCAGTCAGCCCTCCTGAGGCGTTGCTGAAGCAGGGCTACAGGCCGATTTACCAGAACCTCACGCACTGAGCATGTGAAACCAGGGAGTTCTTCTTCTTCTTCTAGCAGATTGAGGAGTCTGACCAGCGCCATCTTTCATATGGTTTCTGGACGTACAGTGTGAGCAGGTAAATCGCATCAGAGCATCGGGCCGTTCAGTGGAAGAACATCGTGAGCTGTGAACTTTTAAACCCTGCAGTTTGAGCTGCAACTGAGTACAACGATGGAAAACATAATGTGGATGTCCGGCCTTATGATGAGTCATTTATGCTATTTATGTATTTGAATGCCCCCCTCCCTCCCCCTGGAACCACTTAAATAACTAATACTTCTAATAGAACCCATTAACATCTCTGTTGGATAATGTTTCCCACCCCATGCATGAAGCTGTTTCAGAACTGGAGAGCTCCTTCAGTGACAGACTGCTGCACCTTAAATGCACCAGGGAGCGTTATCACAGATTTTTCCTCCCAGCAGCTGCAATAAGTTTTTACATTCATGCTGATTTTTCATAGCTTCTACCTTAGTCAGTTGAATAACATGCTGCAGTCATTTTGCACATCTCTGATGTTGCTGCTATTTTCAAATATCCATCACTGTAAAAATGTCCTTAGCTGTATAATGTTTATGTATTCTTCAGGTGCAGTTTTTATATTGTTAAAACACTTTACAGTACAGTATTTATTGTTTATCTTTTAACTCTTCACTATTATGTTATTCTTATTCATTTTTTCTAAGGTCCACATTTGTGTGACCATTTTTTTATATAATCGTTTTGCTGCTATAAACACAAGAATTTACCTATTGTGGGACAATAATAGGAGTTTCTATTCTATTCTATTCCATTATATGCTATTGAACTTGATGAGTTTATAAAACGGTTCATTATCTATTTTTATCTGAAATGTTTGAATTAAAGCCCTTTTATGTACTA